AATATGTATATATTTGTATGTGTATGTACATATATATGTCTGTGAATGTATATGATCTGTGTGTGTGTGTGTGTGTGTGTGTGTGTGTGTGCACCTGTGAATGTTTCCATGTCCATGTATGTGCTGTATGTGTGTAAGTTATAGAATGGCCATAGAAGGATAAGGAATCCACACATGGAAGCCTCACTAAGGTTAGAGGTAGAGAGTTGGTTCAGATGCAGTTGGCCAGACAATATAGTAAGGAGCCAGCTGGAGAGCTGGGGACTAACAGGGCTTAGCTGGGTTCAGGCTTGAATGGAACTGCAGGGGGTGAAGTGCAGGACCATGGGAGGAGAAGGAGGGGAGGTGAAGGACAGCGTTAGATGGATACAGAGCATGGTTAGGAATTGAAGCATGTGCTAACCCTGAGCTGAAGCACAGGGGACAATCAGTTCTCTGCTAGTTGGTCTCTTGATACACACATGGGAATGTGTTGTGAGGTGAGTGGTGGGCATCACCATTGTTGTGTTAGGCTGTGTTGTGCAACATTATTTCAACTATATAAAGATGTGTTACATTTGTTTATGTTGCAGAATATTACCTTAACTATATGAAGATGCATTATATTTGTTTACGTTGGGGAATATTAATTTAACCATGTGGATGTGTGTTCCATTTGTTTCTGCTACATTGTTTAATTACGTAAAGATGTGTTGCTGTTTCACCTTACCTGCCGAAGGCAATTGACGTAATAAAAAAGCAGAATGACTAACAGTTTGGGCGAAAAGGGATAGGCAGGATGGTGGGTAGACAGAATAAGAGGAGAAATTTAGGCTCAGAGAAGAGGAGAGAAGGGGGGAGAAAGAGAGGGACTCACCCACGGTGAGAAGCCACACATGGAAAGAGCAGGAAAGTAAGATATACAAGGGAAAACAAAGTAAGGTAAAATGCCCAAGGCAAAAAACTGATGAAGAGAAACAAGTTAATTTAAATAAGAGTTAGCAACAAATGAGTGTAAGATAAGGCTTAGCATTCATAGCTAATAATAAGTCTCCATGTCATTTGGGATCCGGTTGGTGTCCACCCCCACAAAAGCCTGTTACATGTGTGTTCTTGTGGGTCCTGGTGAGGGTGTTGTTCCTACTTCAGGTTGGGATATCTGATAATTTCTCAGGTCTGATTTTTCAGATGTTGTCCCATTTAGGGTTTCTATTGCTGTGATGAAAACACCATGACAAAGCAAGTTGGGGAGGAAAGAGTTTATTTGGTTTACACTTCCATGTTGTAGTCATCACTGAAGGAAACTAGGACAGACACTCAAGGAGAGCAGGAACCTGGAGGACAGAGCTGATGCACAGGCCATGGAGGGTGTTACTTTCTGACTTGTTCCTCATAACTTGTTCCATTGCTTTCTTATAGAGCCTGGGACCATCAGCCCACAGATGGCACCACCCACAGTGGACTGGGCCCTCTGCCATCAACCACTAATTAAGAAAATGACCTACAGCTGGGTCATAGTGAGACATTTTCTCAACTGTGGTTCCCTCCTTTCAAAAAACTCTAGCTTGTGTCAAACTGACATAAAATATCCAGCACAGATGATTTTGAAATGTCCTAATTCTCGTGTGTCTTACTGATTTTGATATGTCTATAAGTGATTTCTTTTCACTTTTAGGAATAAGGCATTTATCTGACTTTGCCTTATGGGTGGTTCTAGACAGAAGGCATGTCTGTGTGTATAGGAGATGCCCAGGCATCAACTTTTTGCTTGCAAAATGGAGCCACCTTGGGGAAGACTCAGCCTGAAAGCCATCATTTTATACAAAGAGTAACCTAGAGCAGGGAATAGCCTGATCTCCTCATGGTCATACTCTAAGAATGAGAAAGAGAATAGGAAAAAAACAAGATGGAATCACTGGTGAAAATGGCCTGTTAGATCTTGATGAAGTGATAAAGGAGGCCTGGAGACAGTCAACTTAAATATTTAAATATTTCACAGATGTTTGGTCAGAGTGAAATGGCAGATTCCCAACATCATCACATGCTTTTCTTTCCTGGCTGTGATGCAGAAGAGTAACAGCAGAGGCAGCTGTTGGCAATGATTGTAGATCAGACTACAGATGAGGAAGCTGAGGAGTATTGTGGAGAAGCACCTGGTAATGGAAAGGGGGTGTCAGTTACAGTGGCACCTGCACATCTGCAGCCTGCTCTAATTCATTTCAGATGGGAGATCTCCCCACGTCACAGACCGTGCAGCTCAGCTTTCCAGTGCTCTCTCTCTCTCTCTCTCTCTCTCTCTCTCTCTCTCTCTCTCTCTTTCTGTGTGTGTGTGTGTGTGTGTGTGTAATTACTTCAAACCTTTCTGCCATATGTGGTTCAGATGAAAATGGGTTTTTGATATTTAATTTTAAAAAGTGAATAAAATCAAAACAGGTGAAAGGTCAGCCAAGTATCTATTTCTGGTGCAGCTGGCCTTTTACTTTACTTTCAATGTGGTTTGTGGTTCTTTTGTGATAAGGTTTTTACTTTGTGGTCTAAGCTTGCTTGGAACTTCCCAGGTACCACAGGCTCTTACTCAGCTTTCAAGTGTTGTGATTACAAGTGTGTACAATATCCAGAGTTCACAGTTTGAAAAAAAAAAAAAAAAAAAAAAAAAAACTTCTTACCTAGCCAGGGAGACATCATGATCGTGTTGGTGGTATCCCCAGGGGAAGGTTCACCCATTGCATTTGGGGTGTGCTGACCCCTGAGATTTCCCCAAACTCGGGAAACTGGGATGAAAAATGTGTGGTTCAATCTCTTTCCTAGTGGAAAAGTTAAAAAAATTATCTTGAAATATTACCCGATATTAGATGTAAATCTTTTTTTTTTGTTTACTAAGCATGCTTATAGAGGAGGTATTGAAATAATAATAGAAAATCAGCATGTTTGCCATCTTCATCATACTTCTGTGTGTTAGCTCTAGACTGCATATGGCAAAATCTAAGGATGTTGGTGTTGAGAATGAGTTTCACTTTCCTTTTGTAAACAGTTCTTTCAATTCCAAAGGACACTAGGATTAGCATTGAAGTTCTATGTGCACTGAAGTCCAGCAAAGTAATCGATCAAGTTAGATAGGTTCCTTTTTTATTTTTTTGGATTGGCCTTTTGCTTCATCAGGATCTCACCATGCAGTTCAGCCCGGCCTTGAACTTGGTGATCCTTTTTGTTTTGTTTTGTTTTTGAGACAGGGTTTCTCTGTGTAGCTTTGTAGAGATCTGCCTACCTGTGGCTCACGAGTGCTGGGATTAAAGGCCTGTGCCACCACTGCCTGGCAAACTTGGTGATCCTTTTACCTCAGCCTCCTCAATGCTGGAATTATAGGTATGTACTGGGGTTCCACCTCTTAAATAAACTTTGTCTATTCTGTTTATGCCTTAAAGACTATCATAACCTATAGCTACTAGTTTGTGGAGTATGACACAGGCATAACATTTGGTGACATTCTCCAATAAGATTTTTATAAAGACATAAACCCATATATAATAATAATGATGATGATGATGATGATAAATGATGATAATTTCTCATCTTCCTTCCTTCCTCCCTTTCTTTCTTTCTTTCCTTTTTATTTCCTTCTCTCTTTCTTTCTTTCGTTCTTTCTTTGAGATTAGGTCTCCACTTGTAGCTTGAACTGGTTTCAAATTCACTACATAATCAAAGATGGCCTTTTATTCCTGATCCTCTTGGCTCCACTTCCCAAGTCCAAGGATCCTATCTTTATGCCCCTAAGTCCATCTAGTATTATACCAGAAAGTGAAAACAAATTGCACTAATAGCATTTTGGCTAAAGCATATGGTATTAAAATGGAAACATTAGAGCAAGGAACAGAGTCTTGTAGGTTTTTAAATGATTACCACAAGACATAAATTCTAAGTTCTAAGTAGTCTCCATTCTGAAAAGTTTCTATATGGTCCCTGCTCTAGGTCTGCACTCCTGCTGCTCACACATCCATGTTCTTAGGTAAGCTCAACTGGGCATGCAAATTTGATTTCATCTTTAGTAAGTAGTAAAGTTATATGCTTGCCAAAAAAAAAATAAGTGACACACTGGAAGACAAATGTCACACAATTTCAATTTTATGTGTAACCTAGAAATGATGAACTTATGGAAACAGAGAGCAGAATTGTGGCTATTAGGCCTCATTGTGGGTCTTTTAACAATGGGGAAACGATTGGTTTAAGGATATAAAACTGCAGTTGGACAAGAGGCATGGACTCTCTGAAGTCTTGAGGTCTACTGAGAGCATGATAAATATGGTTGATAACAATAGGCTATATTTTAAAAGTTGTGAGATAGTATACTTTAAGTGTTCTCAAAACAAAAATGATGAATATGTGTGATATAACATGTTAATTGGTTTAATTTAGCCATGCCATTGTGAACATACTGTATTCTGTATCATAATTGTGCATGACTTTATTTATGAGCTAAATAAATCAATGGAAAAAAACTGAACTTTGAATGCTTGAGGACAAAATAGGGAAACTGAGTTGAGAGATGTCTTTATTAAGCATCTTGGGCATTTCCTGATGAAGAGAACTGTGGAGCAGTGTCCCTCTGGGCACCCTGATGTGTCATAGCACACCACAACCTGTGGCAACTCCTTGTCCTAGGGTCAATGAAATGGCTCTGTGACTAAAGAGCTTATTGTACAGAGATGATAACCTGAGCTGAATCTCTGGAACAACAAATTCAGTTGGAAGATCTGACTCCACAAATTCTTCTTCTTTTGCTGTGACATCAATAGAGTCAACACATGAAAATTCTCCTAGAGCAACTGCAATGCCCAGGGCACACACTGGGACAGGATTTCATGCTATCTATATGGGTCACTTCCTGAGCCTAAGATGTCATGAGCCTCACCTGGTGCAATACATGCTGCTCTCAATGCTAATCTACATGTCCCTTTAAGATGTTTCTTGTGTCCTGGTATTTAGTGAGTCAGCACAGTCAGCTTGAGGTTTCTGCATGTTGGTATCAAGTATACACGAAAGAGTTTGATCACAGAGACATATCCCACTAAAGCACTCAGAATACATTCCTGCCTCACTTTCTCTTTAAATAAAAATGCCAGTAGCCACTCAACTGCATGCTCATGGAGGGAAGTGAGACAGAAAGAGTAAAATGAGGAGTCCTAATGATTGTGTGAATATTACTTTACATGGAGTGAGTCCATCGTAAGTGTCATGGTGGTGGCACATACAAGTGAGGCTTTGGGGGGCTTGTTTCATTCAGTTCCTGGTGTCTCAGCAGAAGATACTGTATCTTCTGGCAGCCAGACTGTCAAAGGTCAGTGTTGGAGGGAAGGGAAGATGGCTCAGTGGGTAAGGCACTTGATATGCAAGCATGAAGACTGGAATTCACATCCCTGATACCCAGTGGTACATGTGTCCCAAGTCCTCAGCAAACTAACCCTACCAAAAACTAGAGTGAGACCTTAGCCTGCTCCTTACCTCCTTGGGGATAAAGTTTCTTTGTCACATACTTGTAAAAGCAACAACAAATAATAGCAAAGATTATTGTTACTCCAAAGATGGTAAATAGCCTGTTACTGGTAAGCTGCCTGGTAGGTGAAAGCTGGGTTGTGTTCATGGTAGATGGAAGCTTGGTGGCAGATGTAACCTCGGTGATCTTTGGAGTCCTTGATGTTGGTCCTTTAAGAAAAATCAGGAAAATTCAGGATAAAGCTAAAAACATACCTCCATCAGAACCTACTCTCCCCAGAGCCTGAGGAACTCAGGTGTAATAAATGTTTTTACAATTCCTGTGTACAGATGAGTGGAGTTGTGTGTACGATGTCCTTGCAGAGTTTATTTCATTACCAAAGAAAGCAAATGTCTATCAAGCCATCAAACAAAGTGACATCTTTACTGTAGGTAGAACTTTCTGGATGTTGGCTCATTTGGTGTTTAATTGTGCCAGAGAAAGATAGTAAAGACATTCAAAGTGATGTGGGCCTGGTGGAAGGGCAGATATAAGTGAGGAGGAAAAGGCTGGAGGTTTACAGTGATGCACGTAGACTTGTACCCCATTAGCAGGCCATGTAGTGCCTGGGCCATTGGCTAAATGGGAAAGAGAAACATTAAGAGGTGAGGTAGGAAAGAGATCCTTGTGGTTATCAGTGGCTCCAAAGACAGGAAGACCACCACGAAATCACTCATTCAGTCTGCTGAATCTTCTATTATGCACACATGCTGACGACTACACAGCAAAGTCACCAGAAATTTCGAGAGAATTGTCATGCCTTCCCTCCCTCTGAAGGTTTCCTGGTAATAATCTATCTAGCTACTTACTTGGCATTTCCTCCTGGTGCTTTAAGAATCCCTCAAGGCATTGTGTGGAATGGTGATTGGAGAGTTTATCTAGATGTTGTGCTAGTTCCGTGTGATTCTCAAAGTGCTCGAGGATACCTGCGGTGTTACAGTTAATCACTTCCCATTTCTTGTTCTTTAGATTATAGCGAATAAAGCAGAAGGCATACTGTCCATCAATGGTGAAGTTCCAGGGGCCAGGAATGAGTTGTCCTTGTTTATATTGAGATCCCATGGTGCCCTGCAAGTTGTGATTATCTGCAAATAACACACAAAATCGTCATCTCCTCCCTTTATAGAGCCATCAACCCCTCCTTGGTCACGTTTTCCTCTGCACCCTCAGTACCTATGTTCTTCCCTTCCTGACTTGTCATTTCTTATCCACAGGGTACCAAGTCCTTCCAGCCTGGAACAGGACTCAGCTCTTTCACGCAAATACAACCACAGCCCCTTCCCACATGGGCTCTGCCCTTCCTGTCTCTTATTGATACCTTGTCCCATACTCACCCCTGGTCAGCAATTTCTCCTGTTCCATATTAAGTAGCTGGTTCCTCAAGTCTTCTCCAGTGTCTTTTAGTTTTCCGTGCCAATTATTACATATTTCAGAATCATTTACCGCCTTTCCCGTGTTACTATCCTGAATGAAAAGCACTCCATCCACTGTGCACTGTACTTCCCATTCTTTCTGGCCATCTTTGGGATGAGACTTGATACTGAAGTGGCATCTAAGAGAGGGTGTATCTGTGAGAGACACATGACTGTGAGGTACAAAATAGGAATTGTGGTTCTATGACACCAGATTCATTCTCACTGGCAAAAGGGCAGGAAGTCAGGGCCTCGGGTCAAGATGTCCACTAGCTTCTGAACCCTTATTTCTGTGCAGTTTTTGACTCTTAGTTTGGTAGGATCCATGAGATATGCACAGTGTCACCTGGTGTTTCTATCTTACTAGTATTTTAGTGACTCTTATCAAGTGTTGAGAATAAAATATATCAGATACTATCTGTGTTCCTGGGATAAAAGTCTAGGGAACACACAGGGAAAGGAAGCATCGTAGAACATGTGATGAAATCAGAATGCAGCCTGGGAGTTCAGGAAAGGCTCCAGGAGTAATGCTGTAACTTGTCATGGAAAGGACAGCTGCCACCTGTGAGCATAGTCCTTACCTGTGTCCCCATGTCCCCACTGGGCCCTTCACACAACAGTGTTGGGTATCATATCTCAGATTCTCCCATGTCAAACTGCAGCCCTGACTCATCCTCAGGAAGACGTCTCTATCTGTGACCTGCTTGAAGCCCCAATCTCTCTCCCCGTCCTCAGGAAAGTGTCACTCAGCACACCTATGTCCCCTGGTCCCCCAGACTTTCTCTAAAAGCATAAGACCCAACATCCTAAAGCTGTTCTGTTCAGCAGACAGTACCAACAAGTGTGTGAGCCTGAAATCTAAAACAAATAATGTAAAGAAAC